ACTTAAAATTCAATTTATTATCTCTTGCACATAAATCAAAACAACCACTCATCACAATCACACTTATTCTTTATTCCTAATTGTCATGCACAAAACATAAGAACCATTTCTAATAATCTCTTAAAATCACCTTCCTCGTGGGATCGATATTTTTTATACTATAACTTGATAAATTGTGCACTTGTAATTTTGGTACATAATTATGCCGCATCAATATCTCCTCTTCAGGAGGAACTCACTCAGTCGGTTATACCACGTTCTACCCGACTGTTTTAAGTCGTATAATGACCTTTGTAATTTAATGCTATACATGTTGCGATTCTTGTTTTCTCTTAATTCAGGAATTTTAAGTCCATCAGGGATTTTCATATAAAAATATTAGCGTCTAATGACACATATAAAAATGTGGTCATGATGTACATATACTGCATATATAAATTCATAGTTTCTGTCATAGGTATTAACTTGCGGAACGTAATATAAATACTAATAGGAGAATATTTTACATCTAAATCGATGTTGGGTCTCTGCGTGAACCCATTGAGCTATGAATCTCACTTTATATCTCACCACGTTACAATTCTCATTTATTTTTCTTACAAAGACTCATTTATATCTTGCAGGAATATATGGACTATAGGTTCAAAATACTTTAGCGAGTTCAGCTCAGCATCAATTGTCACCTTCCATCTCACCTAGTCCGAGTGTTTCAAGCACTCTGCTACCGACTTAGGTTCTGGATCCATATTATTTTCGGAGATAGTAAGAGCAACTGTAGAGGCAACTATGTTATCGATAACTTTTATATTTCTATTATATATTTCTCCTTTTCACAAATTCGTGGCCACTTCAATTCTTATTTTATGTCAACCAAATTCTCGTTATTTCCCTTAACAATTGGATTTGGCCGTTCCGCATCTCCAATATTATGATTATCAAGTGCACATGTAATTTACTGGAGATTTTGTCTTCAGGACAAGCCTCTTCCGGAGGTTATGGGAGTGACTGTCTTTCTATATTAGATTTGGTGTGTCGCGGACTTTTATCCTTTTCACTAATAAGTTTCCTATGCTTTTGATGCAGTACGCTTCTGGCGTACCAAATCATCAATGATTTACTCAACATGAATATGGGGCTTAGTCACTCTTTTCTTAGCAGATTATCATGTGAACTTTTGGTTCAGTTTGACTAGTACGTGGATATAAATATTGAAGATCTTTTTCATCAATGGAATTTCTTGACATTATTTTGTATTTTGGGCACTAATCTCCCCCTAATGTCAAGAATTGATCTTCAATAAAAATACAGTCAACGTACCAAATTGTAAATTGATCCCCTAACATGGGCCATTGGTACTAAATTATTGACGGAGTTTCATAAATAATGTATGTACACCAGGGTCCCATAGAGGTACGCTATGGTGGTGATATAGAAACATGGACTACAAATAAAGAATACGCAGATGGGAAATGTTTTGCTTCTTCATCACGTATTAGATAAAGGGGAAAATTGTGAAATACAGTTGGCCAGATTTGGTTTGAATGCCCCATTTAATTTACGGAAATCTGATAAATCATATTTTGCCCAAGATGACCCAATCGCTCATGCCAGAATTTAAAATAATTTGGATCCCTAAATCTCAAACTCATCGCAACATGATGTATTTTAGGTCAGACAAATTCTAAAGTATACACATATGAATAAAAACCACATAGGTTCATAAGAGTTAAAGCAAACTCAAGATAAATTAAAATTGTCTAACAAATGCATATAATCCAAATATAGAAAAACCAAATAATTTACCTTGACCACCTCAATAAGATCTACTACCTCTCCCTCGTCCAAGCTTATGAATATTAGTTTGAATTATGACATGTGTTTTAGGCACTACGACTGAACCAATTAAACTTGCATTATGGTTTCTCACAACAACTGGTTGTGTTTTTAACAACTACTAATGCAAGGATTAGTTCATAATGCTTTTAGTTGTATTATTGTAAGAGTACAAGGTTACTTGTTGAATTGTATTCAGTCGAGGGTTTAAAATCCAAAAATGGCTACAAGATAAGATCTCTACTATGTTCATAGCCTCCCCCTTGTCCACGCGTATAAGTAATTTTCTGAATTATAGCATGTGCTCCAAACAGAACTCGTAAGCCAACTAGTCTAACATTGTGATTCCTCATCAACAATTTGTTATGACTCTCTATAACTCAAATGTAGATATCAAAGCAGAATGCTTGGCATAATTTTTAGTCATGTACTACTACTGGAGTACAATACTACTTGCATGGAATGGGAAAAATCTTTTCGATCAATTCTGCGAGCTTCACCCGCTAGATAATATGGCACATGGTTGAAGCATATTTAGTCATGTATTTAAAATCCAAAAAAGTTCTGAATCAGTCTGCCAGTTGCGTTTGAGGGAAGATTATTGGCTCTCATATATCAAAGCGATCCTTCAGGGATTGCCCAGAAAAGTGAATAATTTTTTAGTGAGGCATTAATTTTTTTTACGTCTTAATTGATAGAGAGAAAATTTAAAGTGTTTGCCTTGTGGACAAAGATATATACTTAAAAAATCAAGAGATATAATCGTGCAAAAATCACAAGGGTATCAGTAAAAATGAACGTTCGAGGCCAAAGACAAGTAATAATTACTATCATACATCACAGTGCACTAATCATAGGGACGAAAGATTAGTGCATGAGTAATTAGAAATATTCACATGTCCTATAACACTTGTATACCCAGAAGAGAGACTCTATCTCAAACTTATAAAAGATTTGACATCCTTTAACCGTTGCTTGCATTAATAGCATTTGGAAAAATTCAACATCACATTTAATGCAATAGCACTAGTCTATAAGTATTGATAGCATTTTGAAAATTCAAGAGATGCAGTACTTTTACTGTATGTTTTTTTTATAATCATTTAGGAAACAAAAACTAGAAGTGTTCTAAAATTTTCCTACATATTAACTGAATGATAATTGATGCCTTCATATGTTAGGCTTAACCTTTTAGGAAATAATATTTAACATGCTACAAAAATATGAAAATTGGATATAAGAAAACTGAAATATGTGTCATGGCCATACATTTCTGTGCCATATAATAAAATGAGATGAATAAAACCAGAAGCATACTGTGCCAGGCGATGCTCATACAAAATTGAGTAAATCCCCATACTAAAACTATATGTTGTTTAGTAGTTGGTTTGATATAACCTCTACCATGTAAAGAAAACTGAAATATGTGTCATAGCCATCAATAATATCTGTGTACTTATCGTCCAACCTGCCCATCAAACTGGTGCAATATGTCATATCATATGTAATGTCTTCTATCTGTGTCCTAAAGGGCCTGGTACATGATACAGAACAACAGATGTCTGGGATTTCTTGAAAAACTCTACATAAGGAATACATTGTTTAGAAAATAATAAAATAGTTGAAAGAGTAATCTGTTCAATGCACGGGAAATCTAAGACAATGCATACTCTTATTCTTCTAAACAGAATAAACAACAATTTTACAAACCAGGAGATAAGCATGAATATTCAACTTCCCAAGGCAGTAGGTAACACATGCTACACTTGCATCCTTGCAGATCAACATGAAATACTAGGTTAACATATTTGTGCTGCATATTCAGAAATCAGGACATTTATGCATTCATAATGAAGCATAATTTATCCTTAGGATAGAAACAAACTGAAAATGAAATGTGGACGAAAACCAGAGGATTTTATTGAGAAACTCTTTGCATAAGGTAAGTGGAAGTTTCAAGAATTTGCAATGAGTAAAAAGTGTCGACTTATATACCAACCTCAAGCGACTATAAAATTTTACATTTAAGGCTCCCTTATCCCGCACAGTATCTGCAATATGCAGACTGCAGTCTATTCAAGTTATCAATACCAATCTATGCCAGATGCCTTAAAATTAAATGTGGACTTCCTAGTATTCTGGAGCTCCATCAAACAGAGATCACAGCTTGTACTAGATACAGATAACAAACTACAAAGAAGAAGAAGCTTTTAGGTAAAAGCTTTTAGCTAAGTATTTAGCTAAGACCACCGGAAGATCTGAACGATCTCATCCAGGAAACCCGTTCAGTATAAACTAAAGGGTTAATTGCAAATACACCCCCTGGAGTATCATGTGGAAATTGTTACCTCGTAAGGGGTGTACACCGAAATATCTCTTACCACCAACGGGCGATTACGAACCGACTAGCTAGAGCTTTCGTGCTGATAACGTGTTGTAATCTTGTTGTTATATCTACATATATCATATATATATCAAAAGTAAGAATCAAACATGAAATGTAAATGTAAACAGACAAGAGAAGAGATAGGGAGAAAAGTGATTCTCATTTTATTAATCTTCTTCATTCCAGTATCCATTTTGTAGTCCATGACATACATTATATAGATTGATAATAAGAAGACTAAAGGACATGAGCTAATAAAGAGTCACCTAATTAATTGTCCATATTCAAGTAATGTCCACATTCATCTTATCTTCTAGATTTCAACAGTTTCTCTTTAATTTCTTATTTCTAATTTAAAGCAAATTTGTCGTGATTGATTAGTGATCGTCAATCTGCAAATTGCGACTCGAATAACAATAAAACAAATTTGACAAATATGCTAAGTACGTTATTATTACTACTATATTCTATTAATTATATATTTTATATTATTATTTGTACTATTATATTAGTTACTCTTAATCTTAAGATCATGGAAAGTAATATATTATTAAATTTATTATATTATTAAATTAAAAGTTGGAATTAATTTGTTAATGTTAATTAGTTTGTTAACTTAATATTTTTATAATTATGTTAATTAATTTTAAAAATTATGTATAACTTTTTAATATACTATTATGAATTAAAAATAATAATATGTATCACATAAGACAAGTATAAACACATGCAAGGCACGTGGACTATTTTAGTAAAATAAAATAAAAATGCGAGAGAGAAAGAGAGAGAGAGCTTCTCATCGACTCTCACCTCCAGCGGCATTTTCTCCTTTACGATCGATCTCAAGTTCAGCGGCATTTCATCGAACCGGGACTAAAGATGGCGGGGACTGGGAAAAGAGGGAGGAACTGCGGTCGAACGATCGCCGGAATCTTGCAGCGGGAGGTTGGGGATCTCTCGCCCAGGAAATTCGCCCACAGGATCGGCGCTTCTGAGGTTTATACATTGTTTTGTCCTCTTTATTTAGGGTTTATTTTACCATTAGATTATTGTTCGTCTAGTAGTAGGCAATTGAGATATTAAATGAAGATTGATTCTCATAAAGAGATGTGTGGTGTGGGGATTGGTGGAATATGTTACATGATGCGATGAAAGAATATGTCATTGGGTTTGGTAGGAGAGATTTTGATCTCTC